AATAAGTCTTCATGTCGAAATCATTGTTTCCGTTACAAATGTCCCAATTTTATTAAAGTATTAAAATTCTTTTAACTTTCTTCATCTACCAGACCCTTTCTTCAAATTTTTGAAATTTTCCATTGTACCACCATTAACAAATTCTATGGCCTTTACAATATTGCAGCCCAATGTAAATTATTTTTCCTGTTCTTGCTCTGTCCTTTGCATCTGTGTGACATGGAGCCTGCTCAGGATCGTAGCCATGCTCATAGTGAAAGATGAGAACTGTTTTACACTCCTGCCTAATTTTTGAGCAAAGTTTGTAACCATTTACTTCCTTTCCCTTAGGTATCTTTAAATTTACTGACAAAATCTTCAATTACTCCCTGACTGACCTCCTTCTCTAAAGTTCCATTGTGGGCTAGCTTCTTTTTCTCAACCCATGCCGTTTTGCCTGTGGCCCTTACCAGATTATGAAGTGAATGTTTTCTTCCGGGAAAACTACATTTGTCTGCTGCTCCTCACATGACCGTTTCTATCTGTCAATTATCACAGTTTAGCTGCTGAATGGCTCAGTGTTTTCCTAAAGCATTAATGTTCTTAAAGTGGTAAAGTCACTTCTTTGCTCACCATGAAAATGGAATCCGCATTGCTGCTCGCTATGTCATATTGGATTCTGGGTACACTACATTGACAGCTGATGGTTGGTGTTATTCGCTGACACCAATCCTCCTTTCTATACCGACACCAAGTGTCTGTCTAATTATAAAGATTGCAGAATGGACCACTAGAGAGTATTAATTAGAAGAGACACATGTCTTGCATTTCAAAGTATATTTAATTGCATGATAAAAATAAGTACAATTAACATTAACTAGCCTAGCACAATCACAACCATCAGGAGCCAGGTCTGTCGTGTCATTCTTCATCCGGACCTCATGCAAGAATACTGTTTCTCCATCCAAAGACTGTCACATTATCAAATTGGGCAGAGCTATGCAACTTCAACATTAATGTTTTCAGAACTATTAACTTATACAATAAATGAGACATGATTGGTATTCCAACAGCACTTTTACTCTGACAATTTTTCAGGTTGATTTGAAGTATTAATATGCTGTCCCCGTACTTGAGTTCCCACCAATTACTCCAGTATTGAGTCCCCACTGAAATCTACCTCTGTTTCTGCCAAAGTTCAAGAGATCAGGAATGCGGTGAGGATAGGCCTTTGACAGCTTGTTAAAACAGCAGCAGAAATTCACAGGATTACAGGGGATCCCCTTGAATGGCAGCATGGTTTTGTTTTACAGGGGCACTGGATCAGCTGGGTACAACAAATATTTAAATATTCTGGGAGAGGTGGTTAGCTGCTCAAGAAAGCATATTTACAAAGAAAACTGATTCTTCTCCATTTGAGACTCAGACTCTCCTCCCCTATCAAGTATAAAACGGAAAGTTGTCAAATATTTGACATTTGACACACTTACACAAGTTTATTGATGGCCACTTTGTTCATATCCGCAAATATATTGCACCATTTCCAACAAACATTGTGATCTTCAAGTACACTAAAAGTTAATCTCTGTACAAAGATTAAATTTGTTCAGTTATTTATTAGCTCACAGTTTTACTTCTGATAGTCTTTTCTAGAACCTAAAAATGTGTAAAGGCTGTTATCTGATTTCATTTAATTACATTTATAGTAAATTATATTTCTTGGTAGCTTTAAAAGCTGTATACACAACACAATGAATCATTAAATTTGTAAATGGAACCATGATGGACCTTAAGATATCATAGCCTCGACTGCTAGGAAATTAGTTTATTCATCAAAATTAGTTTATTCAATAACTCCAACCATCAGCTGTCAATGTAGTGTATCCAGAATCCAATATGACGTAGCGAGCAGCAAAGTGGATTTCATTTTCATGGTGTGGACAAGGGCAGCAGATATATGGGAACACCACGACCTTCAAGTTTCCCTCAAGCCACTCACCACCCTGACTTGGAAATATATCGCCGTTGCTTCACTGTCGCTGGGACAAAATCCTGGAATTCCCTCCCTAATGGCATTGTGGGTCAAGGCACAGTAGGTGGACTGCATCTGTTCAAGAAGGCAGCTCACCACCACTTTCTCAGGGGCAGGTAGGGATAGGCAATAAATGCTGGCCAGCCAGCGACGTCCACATCCCACAAATGTATGGGAAAAAAATGTCTATGTCTTCATTTAATGAACAAGCTGCTTATGCAGAACATTTCAAACAGCCTTTCCTACATTGTATCAGTAACTACAATTCAATATGACGTATTTGGCTCTAAAATACTTTCAGACATCTAGCAGTTGTGCAACGAACTGTTTTCAAATTAATACACAACAACACTTCTCTGTTTTGCAAAATCAGATCATAATAGCCAGTTGCAGGAATACATTTCCCCTAACTTTTTCTCTGGATTTCCTATTTTGTCAATCCCCTGGTTACTGGCTCGCCAGCCAGTGCATTCCTATTTACATCCAATCTTGACCAACTCCACTAAATTTTCCTTTAGCTTTATCTGCTTTATGAAGAACAATGCTTGAAACTGGAAATTACACTGCTATTAGAGACAGCCTACCGACTGAGTAATGAGAGTGATATCTCCCTGAAGCCATCGGTTGATTGTGAGCCACTGAAACACTGACAGTGGCTTGATAATTTTCCACTCAACTTTATGCACTCCCCTCATAACAGTATCCATATTGGAATGAGATCCATGTCCAATTTCTGTACCAGTGTCCTAACCCAAAAACATGCACTTCAGATTTCATAGAAACACAGAAACATAGAAGATAGGAGCAGGAGGAGGCCATTCAGCCCTTTGAATCTGCTCTGCCATTCGTCATGATCATGGCTGATCGTCCAACTCAATAGCCTAATCCAGCTTTCTCCCCATAACCTTTGATCCCATTCACTCTAATTGCTACAGCTAGTCGCCTCTTGAATACATTCAATGGTTTGGCGTCAACTACTTCCTACGGTAATGAATTCGATAGGGTCACCACTCTTCGGGTGAAGAAATGTCTCCTCATCTTCGTCCTAAATTGTCTACCCCAAATCCTCATACTGTGATCCTGGTTCTGGACACACCCACTATTGGAAACATCCTCCCTGCATCTACCCTATTTTTCCTCATGTGTCAGACTTGCCATCCTGAGAATCAGCCTGGTAAACCTTCATTGCACTCCCTTGAGAGCAAGAGCATCCTTCCTCAGAAAAGGAAACCAAAACTGCACTCAATATTCCCGGGTATGGTCTCGCCAAGGCCCTGTACAACTGCGACAACACAACCCTGCTCCTGTACTTGAAATCTCTTGCAATGAAGACCATTACACCATTTGCCTTCTTTACCGCCTGCTGCACCTGCATGCTTACCTTCAGCGACTGGTGCACAAGGACGCCCAGGTCTTGTTGCACATTCCCCGCTCTCAATTTACAGCCACTTAGGTAGTAATCTGCCTTCTTGTTTTTGCTTCCAAAGTGAATAACCTCAAATTATACTGCATCTGCCATTGATTTGCCCACTCACCCAACCTGTCGAGATCATGCTGAAGGATCTCTGCATCCTCATCACAGTTCACCCTCCCACCCAATTTGGTATCATCTGCAAACTTGGAGATGTTACGTTCTGTTCCTTCATCCAGAGACCCTTCTTCAGAATTTGATTTTGATTATTGTTTCTAACAGTGTCAGGGGTTCATGCAGAGCACAAATGATGGCAACCTGTTGACTGCATCAACATTGGGAGATGAAGTTTGACTGAGGAACTGATTAAAGTATTCTGCCCATCTTGGGCTTTGTCTATGAGCAGTGTTGACCGACCAGCACCAAGAACTGGTGATGAACCAGTAGACCTGGGCCTGTAGACAGATTTCACATCATTGTAGAATTTCTTCTGGTCTCTGGTCTGCATCTGACTAATGTTTGTCTGCTTTCTAATTAAGCCAAATTATGTCCTGCATCTCTCTGAGCTTGTCCTGTGGGTTCTTCATTGGACATTGCTCTGGGATAGTGAACAATAGCAAAGTTAACATGTCCAGTCCAAAAGCTAGCATGATGAATGATAGTTTACTTGAAACACTAGCTCTGTTTCCCTACACAGATATTGCCTGATCTGCTGCATTTATTTTTGTTATTTCAGATTTCCAACATGTTTTGCTTTTATATCAGTGCTTGGATAGTAATGACTAGTCATTAAGATAAATCCTGAAGAAGAGATTTCTCTCGTAGTTTCTGGGTTACTGCAATATTTTCATCAAGACAATGCTTAGGAGAGGTAGGGCCAAGGACCTTTACAACAGTGAAGTGTGGGTAAATCACCACAATTTACCTTTAATTCAACTACCTATTAAGAAATCTCACAGACAATCAAGTACTGAAACAGTGATTTAAACTTTATTGAGACTCCTTAAATAAGCAAGTATAAGCCTGTGACCCAATTTACCTATTACCTGATTAATGGTGAAATCTGGCCAGGATTTCAAGCAACACTGATTGTCTCTGGAAGCATCCAGTGCCTTGTGCAATATTGTTCTTTGAAGTTCTGCTGTTGAGTTTTTCTACAGTTGGATTCGTATACAGTTTTCTCACTTTCAAGTTTGTGGTGTGACATTATTGATAATTCAATAGATTTTTTCATCCCCAAAATTGATTACACTTTCAGAGACTTCAAGCCTGCAGCTTTCCTTCTCATCAATAATAGCTCCTTTGTTCCTTGTTACATTCGAGGTTAGCTGTCTGTTCAAAACACAGCTTTTTCCAACAATTTTAGAGATAGTAGGAACTGCAGATGCTGGAGAATCCGAGACAACAAGGTGCAAAGCTGGATGAACACAGCAGGCCAAGCAGCCTTTCTGCTCCTATGATGCTGCTTGGCGTGTTGTGTTCATCCAGCTTTGCACCTTGTTGTCTCTTTTTCCAACAATTAACCCCTTTACTTCATTATACTATTTCTGCTAGGTCTTAATTGTCCATTTGTCATGAGGCAGCAGATTATCAAATAAGTGTTATCTCCTCTCTTCCAGGAATAGCTTGTTTGTGATTGGAAACAACAAATGCTAGAGACCACAGCAGGTCAGGCAGCATCTATGGAGAGAGAGCAAGCTAATGTTTCAAGTCTAGATGCCTCTTCATCAGAGCTGATGCGAAGTGTGGAAGGGACAGCATTTATGCTACAGTTGCGGCGAAGTGGAGTGTAGAATGTTACGGGAGAAAGGATGTTGATAATTCAGATTAAGTGATCGGAATGTGAGAATGGCTGAACAATGGTGTATCTAACTGCCGGACTTAAAAGGGCAGACAGTCCCACTGGGTGGGGGGGTGCGGAGGACATGATGACAGAGAATGTAACAAGTAAAACTTAAAGAAAGGGAAGGAATGCAAGTTGGTTCACAATTTGAAGGTATTGAACTCAGTCCAGAAGGTTGTAAAGTGTATAGTCTGAAGATGAGATGCTGTTCTTCCAGCTTGCGCTGTGATTCACTGGAGCACTGCAGCATGCTAACAGGACACTGCGTTAAAATGACCGGCTATGGGAAGGTTGGGGTCATGCTTGTGCATAGACCGGAAGTGTTCTGCAAAGCAGGCACCCAGTCTGCATTTAGTTTCTACAATGTAAAGATTTAAAAGGCACTTAAGGGGCAACTTTTTTCATGCAGACGGTGGTGTGTGCGTGGAATGAACTGACAGAGGAAGTGGTTGAGGCTGGTACAATTACAACATTTAAAAGGCATCTGGATGGGTATATGAATAGGAAGTCTTTAGAGGGATATGGGCCAAATGTTGGCAGACAGGACTAGATTAATTTTGGATATCTGGTTGGCATAGACAAGTTGGACCAAAAGGTCTGTTTCTGCGCTGTATAGCTCTATGACTCGATGGAGATTGCTTACCTGTTGTTGTGCAGGCAGAAATGTAAGCACCATTAGAAGTCCCTCGTTGAATCCCTACAGTGTGGAAGCAGGCCATTCAGCCCATTAATTCCACACTTCTGAAGAACATCCCACCCAGACCCACCCCCTAAAGTATCCCTGTAATCCCCATGGCTACTCTTACGAGTCCCTGGACACTATGGGCAATTTCGCACGGCTGCAGGAGGTAACTGGAGGGGAGCTATGCAGGCAGAGCAAAGGCTGTACCAGCTTTGTCTCGTTCTTTTAAGGTCATTCACAGGAATTTGTCTCTCACCGCCACGCCTTGCACATCTTTTGGGGGCTGTCAGAAGATAATTTCAATCAGGGAAACATTCCGCACTTAAACATTGGCAAAAGTTGTCTGCTGAAAGAGGCAGTGGAAATATAGACCAAAAAAAACTCTGCAGCATTTTTTTTTCCCCCAAGTGCGTTCCTGATAGAAGTGCTGATGGCTGGAGTTTGCATGGACTGACGTCATTGGGCAGGTGTGCCGGGAGAGCAAACCCTTTTAGAACCGGCGCAAGTGGAGCAGGAGGTGGGTGTAATCGGAGCGGGTTAATCGGTATAACTGGGGTGGGTGGGGAAGTGTGTGTTATTTCCGAAAAAACACTGGCCGGAAGAAGCTTGTTCACTTGCTGTTACGCCACATCAGACTTTGGTAATTTCTGTCCCGTTTAAGCTCCGACGTGGTTACGATTCTCGGTTGTTAATAATTCTGTGTGAATTGTGAGCTCTGAATCGGGGCGAAGCAGCTCGCATTCACGCGAAGCTCTTTTGTTCTGAAACTCGATTTCATTTGTTTTTAATGCAGAGCGGAAGCCATGGCCTCAACAGTGGAAGTGCCACAGGTACACTTTTTATTCTGTTCCCGGTTGGAAGTGTGTTTAGACTTGAAAAGCAACTCTTTCTGCTCCTATGATGCTGCTTGGCCTGCTGTGTTCATCCAGCCCTGCACCTTGTTGTCTCGGATTCTCCAGCATCTGCAGTTCCTACTATCTCTGTATTTGCTAATGCTGACTAACGATAACTGAACCTGCTAATCTAATGTGTTTGTTTTCACTAACAATCCTTAACTGCTCAGTTTTTTCTAAATCGAGTAACGTCTCAATCAAGTTGATCCCTGTCTGCTGACTTCTCTCCGGAAGGCAGCACTGTGTGCCTGGAACCTCTTCCCTGTGAGGATTTGGGATAGGCTGAAGGTGATCTGAATGTGTGGGGAAAGAGTGTGTGTTTTTGTTTTGTTTTTTTTTCCACGCTACTAACAGAACTCTCTTCCTCTTAAGTGACAGGAACTGAACTGGCATGTACATACGAGGTCTCAAATGCAGTTTACTGGTGGGGGAAAAAAACCTATATTCACTCTAGATTTTTTTCCCTGTTAGAATGTGGTTGTTCGGGTGGCTAACTTGCCACTTCTCAGCACTGCCTATGATATGATGACATCTGTATATAGCAGCACGAAGGAAAATCACCCCTATCTGAAGTCTTTGTGTGAATTTGCAGAGAAAGGTGTGACTGTCGTTTCATCTGTAGCCATCACCAGTACTACACCAATACTTAAGAAACTGGAACCACAAAGTAAGAATGTTCTCTTTTGCCCCGTTGGTCTTGATCCTTTGAAGTCTATTATAAACGCACTAAGATTGATTTCAAGCAGAAGTAATGAAACTATTACTGAATAAACAAGACATATGCAAGGTATAACTGTTATAATTGAGTATTGCTATGGGAGTGGTCAGGTTGTAGTGTTCACTAAATATTTATATTTGGCATTTGTTGGCGCTTTGACTCATGCTAGTGTTCAGCAAATCCGTTTCAGTATTGAACCATTTCTCTACAGTAAGATGCTTTAAACTTTAACCTTTTGCCTAGATGTGGAGTGGTGACTTGCTGAATTTCACTTCTGTTTTATCTTTCACCTAGTTCAGATATATAAATAGAACAGGCTAATAAATTTCTTGGAGTTGCTTGTTGAATGCGGTGTGTTTATTCAACTCTGGCACAAAATAAACTTTTTTTTTGGAGTGTTACCATTTATTCTACAGATTTTAAAAATTGCAGGTTTGAAATTAACAACAATGCTGTAGACACCTTTTTTTTCAATTCTGAGAATCATATGCATGAAATTAAGCTTAATACTGCTGAAAAATAGCTTCTATAGAAGATGGTGGTTAGAAAGTGATTTAGAATTGCTACAGTGTAGAAAGAGTCCATTTGGCCCATTGAGTCTGCACTGACCCTCTGACCAGCATCCCACCCATTCCTGTAACCCCACGTGGGTTTTTATATAAGCCGTGGCTAACCCACCTAACCTGCACACTGAGGGAATTTTTAGCATAGCCAATCCACCTTACCTGCCCATGTATTTGACTGTGGGAGAAAACCGGAACACCCGGAAGAAATCCACATGGATACTGACCTAACATGCAAACTCCACACAGACAGTTGCCGAAGGCTGGAATCGAACCCAGGTCCCTGGCACTGTGAGGCAGTAGTGCTTGCCACTGTGCTGCTGAGTCATGAGGCATTGCATTGATTGTAATTCTTTTATATTTTTATGTAGTATACCTTCAAGAATAGCTATATTATCTTGGCTGATACCAGTAAAGTGTTTGATATTCCTTCAATTGACAAGTTTATATGTTGTGCTTTAAATGCTACCTCACACACAACTTTTCTTTTTATGTTTTAGTTGCATTTGCAAATGGTTATGCCTGCAAAGGACTAGACAGAATTGAAGAGAAGTTACCTTTTCTCCACCAACCAACTGACCAGGTACTGATTTTGTTCTGAATTCACCAGAACTATGCAATCAAACTGGCTTGTACGAGATCAGACTAGATCAGAATGCTGAAGAAACTCCAATCTGAGCATCTGTGGACAGAGAAACAGTTAATGTTTTGAGTCTGGTATGACTTCTTCAGAAGTCATACCAGACTCAAAACATTAACTCTGTTTCTTGCTTCATGAATGTAAAATATGAACATATGATGCTGTCATACCTGCTGAGTTTCTCCAGCATTGCGTTTTTCTTTCAGACTTCTTGCATCCATAGTATTTTACTTATTATTGTACAAAGTCAATGCTTGTTCACTTGACGTTAATACCTGAGATGCTTCATTCTTGCCTGTTTTTCATCTGGTCACACAAGGGAGTGGAGGGATATCAGAGACTTGTTACTCTGCTTGAGAATTGCTGAAAAGAAATATGAGGGTAAAGCTTTTGAACTTGCCCTCACCAGGACAGGCACACGAATGCTCCCTATGAAATTTGGCAACAATTTATATGGCAAGAGAAAAGTATGCTGGTTAGTTGGCACTGATTGATGTGGAGAATGCAACAACTCAATCATTACCACCTCGCCAAACAGTCAGCACCTTTCACTGTGCATATAAATTGTTCCATTGAAATTTGGTATTCTTTTGTCTGTTCAGATGTGTGCAGAATAAACTGCTTCAGCGTTGTCTTTTTTGTTTCAGCAATACCTATTTTTGTTTTCTTGATTTTTATGAGCAAGTTCTACCTATCTGCCTGTGGAGAAATGTGATAGAGTATGTGGTTCTTGGTATGGATTGCTCATCCTTCACAAAATTGCAAGGTTTGTGAAGGTGCAAAGCTAATCTCCCACAGTTCAATTGTGCATTTATTCTCCAGGACTTTCAAATGTTCAGGTGAGCGTGGCATGATAATGGTCAATAAGTTGGTATTTTTAGGACAATAAATGAAATTTTGCTGTGGATTCAGATCAACCTAAAGGTGCCAAATGCATTGGTAGGTCTGTGCAGATAAGTTGCTAATTTCGTATTTTGTGATGAATATGAAGCAAATATTAAGCTGCTTGGAAGTGTTCTGTTTTGAACAATTTTTTAATTATATGTCTTGAGACGTCCTCCTATGATGACCACAATTTTTTTTTTTTTTTAATTTCACTAAAATTGTTATGACACCACCCTGCGCCCAAGTATGAGATTGGAAAATCACAGAATCCTGACAGTGTGGAATTGGCCCAATGAGTCCACAACGACCCTTGGAGCATCCCACCCAGACCATCCCCCTATAACATCCCTGAATACTATATGGGCAATTTAGCATGGCCAATCCACCTAGCCTGCACACTTTTGGACTGTGGGAGGAAACCGGAGCACCCGGAGGAAACCCACACAGTTGCCCGAGAGTGGAATCGAACCCGGGTCCCTGGCGCTGTGAGGCAGCAGTGCTAACCACTGTGCCACCCCAAATCTCTATCCCCACCAAAAACTGGGGTCCCAAGAAACTGAGAAATGGGAGCAGGTGGGAAAGTGCAGTTAAGATCAGTGATCGGACATGATTTTGTATTAATTGACCAAACAAGCTCAAGCAGCTTGATGATTTATTTATTGTATTCCTGGATCTAACACTTGCACTGAGTGCTGTGGCCATTTTTTTTTCGACAGGTTGTTGCTAAGGCGAAGGAAATTGTCACCCACACTGTTACTGGTACCAGGGAGACTGTGGCAAGTAAAATTACTGGGGTAGTGGACAAGACAAAGGACACTGTCCATGAGAGTATTGAAATGACCAAAGCTGTGGTGAATGACAGCATGAACCATGTACTTGAATCACGTATGGGTAAAGCATTGAGCATTGGAGTAAATTCAGCATTGAACACTTCTGAATTACTTGTAGATCATTATCTTCCTCTGACTGAAGATGAGCAAGGTGAGAAACAACATGAATGTTCCCAATAAAATCATCTGCGTGACTTCCAAATTTTCCTTTACTTCATCATGTATAGATACTATCCCTGTTGGTTATTTCTTGTCAGGATATTACTTGTTGACAAGGTAAGTTGAAGAACACATTTTCTCTGTCAACAAGTAACAACATTAACATTCCACGTCTGATCTGGATTCATACTTTTCATACCTAATAGTTGACTAGAAGTAAAACAAGTCTGGAGTATTGACATTTTTACATAATAGTGATAATAATCTTTAAAGTCAAAATCGCTGTGAATAGTTGGATCCAGCACTGATTTGACTAATAATATGCAATTAAGATCACTTCCATTTCTTACTATTTTGAAAAGTTTTTGTTTGAGTCCTATTTAACTGGCATTGCACCTGGAAAGCGTAAACTTCATACTTTTTCATCCATTCTTAACATACTGAATGTCTACGCACCATTGCATCTAAGGCATTTAACATTCCTTTGCAGCTGGTACGTGTGTAGGAATTTGCTGATGCATGGAGCTCCTGTAAATCCTGCACAACCTTTATCAAATTGGGGAAGAGGCAGAGAAACTAAGTGGAGTGCCTCAGCATCTCCAACTTCTGAAACAAATGGTGTCACTTCCATTCTGTATGAAGAAATTCTGCTGGTCTGAGAACCTGTAATCCTTCAGCAGTGCCATTAAACATAGGCTGAAACTAAGATGTTAAGAGAATGGCTGGCTGTATTATGCTAATGACACAATGGCTTCAGTAACTTTTCAATGTATTCTGCTGAGATGGGTTTTTTTTTTTTGTTTTAAAATGGGAGTTGCAAAGATTTGGCACTTTTTCCTCTGAATACATGCCTGCCATCATAACAAGTTAGTTAGATAACCATACTATGATTTTGGACTCCAGTACCATGTGTATTTTAATGGAAATAAATGAATTGTGTATTCAATATTGATAGGTAAACTGTGTTCCTTCTGCTTGGCCAGTCACTTCCTAGCAACGACAGCATAGCTTGAGTATGGATGAAGCTGCTTATGTTATCACTGAAGCCATGTTACAAATTGCTCTAAGCTTTTTGATCTCTGAGGTTGCCAGTTTAATGTTGAATTGGGTTCCAGTTGTAGATTAAACTTGTGCTTTGCAGCTACAGAAGCGAACAAGGGAACTAATGGATTTGAAATCGATCCTCTGAAACGGAGTTATTTTGAGAGGCTGGGATCACTTTCGACCAAAGTACGACAGCGAACATATCAACAGGCCATGGTCAAAGTTCACAGTGCTAAGCAACGTGGTCAAGAGGCCATTTCTCAACTGCACCATACGATTGATCTAGTGAGTACACAAGTTAGTGTGTTGGTTAGTTAGTCAGGTCAATTTACTTTGGTTTTTTTTTCAAGCAAGCTGAATTTCAATATTTTCACTACAAAATGATTTTCTTGCAAAACCTGAGCATTCCAGTAATCATTTTTAATATTTACCTGGCAATGTATTTTGTGGACAAAAATCTCAATTCAAGGGAAGTATTAACTAACTTGTGCTTTACACAGGTTTGAATTTAGTGAATCTAAAATGAAATGTCTTACAGAGTAAGGCTGATATTTCAGCAATGTGAAATGAATCTTGATTGCTAATTCCTAGGTTTAATTTTTGCACATCACCCTACTTTAAGGTTGAAGACCATGAGCATTTCCAGATTTAATCCTGTACCTAACTTCAGATACAGTGTGCTTTCTTTTTTAATGCTAAACTGTCCTTCATATTCCAGATAGAGTATGCCAGGGAAAATATGGGTACAGCAAATAAAAAAATCCAGGATGCCCAGGATAAGCTATACCATACATGGATAGAATGGAGGAAGTCTAATTTAGAACATGAAGACCATGAATCTTGTGCAGCAGAGGTGAGTGTGCATCATGACCGGCTCTTGTAAGTTATTGATCCAAAGTCATAATCATAGAGTTATAAAGGTCTACAGCACAGAAAAACGCCCTTTGGCCCATCAAACCTGCACCAGTCAAAACAAAATTTAAGTATTCTAATGCCATTTTCCAGCACTTGGCCCGTAGCCTTGTATGCCTTGGCATTGCAAGTGTACATCAATATATTTCTTAAATGTTATGAGGGTTTCTGCCTCTACCACCCCTTTTATAGGCAGTAAGTTCCAGGTTCCCAATACCCTCTGGATGAAAGGAGATTTCCTCACATCCCCGCTTGACCTTCTGCTCCTTACCTTTAAATCATGTCCCCTTGTCATTGCCTCCAAGTGCTACAACAACTTTGGCTTGTGGCATTTTTTTTTTAGTCCGTGTCTGTGTGTATCCAACAAAAAACTTTGAAATTTGAAGAATTAACTGATTACATTCTTCACTGTCTGGCATTTGTATGACACAACCATTTTTTCACTAAAAGCACTGAAATATACAAGATCAAGAAGGAAAAGGCAGCTAATTTATCAAGTCTTTCCTGCTCCTGACAGGAGGAATGTGGCTGGACGCATCTAGCTACTTCTTGTAGTGATGTCATTTGGGAATAGCTCAAAACTGAGCACCAAGAGGAGCAAAATACTTCAGGAAAATTCCTGTCTAATTTTCTTGGGAGGTTGAAACTGATCTAGGAGATTGCATGGATTAAATGTTCTCGGACACTTTTTGCTTTCAATAAGCACAATTACGTGAAAGATGAATCGCACCAACTACACATCAGCTGGTGACCAAATTCTAGAAGCTCATTAGTCTGCCTGAAAGATAATTGCTCCCATCCAGTCTGTCCCTATTCTTGCACAGGTTAAACTTATCCCCTGCTCTACTCATTTATTGAACTGGATTACACTATCTACCTCTTAATTTTATATACCATTATCTGGTCTTCTCCTAAGTCTATACTGTGCAGTAAGTAGACAAATGCCCTTTTGAACCAGATGTTCTTTCGCTGGGAATTATTATCATGATTCTTCTCTGGACCTCTTGCAAGGCCATTTCTAATCTAAGAGGTGGGGAAGCAGGGATCTGTGGTTAAGAGACAGAATGTGTGCAGAATACAGAAATCCATGAGAAAAATCTGATCTGTTCAAATGCATCTGTATTTTTTATTATAAATATATAGCAAGTTGAATCATGTACACTGGCCATTGCTCGGAATCTGAGCCAACAGTTGCAGACAACCTGTTTTGTGCTGGTAAGCAGTGTTCGGGGTTTACCTCAGAATGTTCAAGAACAGGTCCAGTACATAAATCTTCTGGCAAGAGAGATGTATTCCACGTTCAAGTCTAAAACATCATTCAGAGAACTTTCTAGCCAGATCCTCTCCACAAGTAAGGATCAACTCTCAAAAATGAAGGACTCACTGGATGGCCTGATGGATTATTTGGTGAATAACACACCTCTGAATTGGCTGGTGGGTCCTTTTTACCCACAACTAACTGGGTCCCAATAGAAAGGGGAGACTGAGACCATGGAAGAGATGTAATCTGAGCAGGTGCGCACTTGTCGTGATGCTTGACCATCATTTGTTATAGCATCTATTTCTGTTTAACCACCTATTTCTGTTTAACCACCATCTCGCCACAGAAGTTCCCTATTCTGAAGGGAAGAGGATAAAATAAAAGTCAAGATTTAAGGAGTAGCTTGAGACTTCTTTTTGAAATTTGTTTCATTTCATATGTATTTAATAAATCCTTGGGCAACCATGGTTTCAACTGCTAATCCGTTAGACATCAGTTGGCTTTTCCTGAAACGATAGTTTGAGGTTTTTACTGCTGTAAGCTTTAACATTCCAGATTCATGGATGAAGATGGAACTATGATGTTAAAATCCTAAAGTAATTGCTGTTGATTAGTCTGATCTCTCGTGCTGTCTCTCCATGAGATGCTCAGCCACTAAATAGTTTTTGCAACTATATGAAGGAATTTATACAATAAAAGCGGAGTAACATCCAATGTGTTGTCTGTTTTGGAATTTCATTTTCAGTACCCTATAGCCACTATCACTGGTCTATGAAACTTTACAATAACACAACATATTTTGACAGCCAGTTGCTAGGAACAAGGGTCTAGACCCGAAATGTCAGCTTTCCTGCTCCTCTGCTGCTTGGCCTGTGTTCATCCAGCTCTACACCTTGTTATCTCAGATTCTCAATCCTGGTTTTTTTTTTTATTTTGCTTCATTTTCAATTCTTACAGGACTGATTATGATCTAACTTGTAAGCGCCCTGGTCAAATCAAATATCGTGTACCTCTTCTGTATGTATCACTAGAAACGGTAAGGAAACTGGCTAATGTTAGCCAAACTTAAATAACCAAATTTTCTTTGATTACAGTGGTTGGGATATTGCTGTGCTAGATGGTGACATAAATAGGACCATTACTTTTACTGATAATGCATCATGTCCAAATTACAACTGAGATCTATCCAAATGAAAAACTGGATTACAAAAGTCTTCTGAGTAAGAATGCTTATTTGTCAAGTTTGCCTTTCCTTTTATTCAAAGTGAAAGTAAATTCAGATCATAAAAGATATGTATAAAGACAAGCTGTGTACTTGTTTTGGGATTTACTGGGTGGTGGGATATTTTCTGTTTAGAAGAAAAGAAGATACATCTGAAGTGCTGTTGTGGAAAGTTGCAACATCAAACAGATGCAAAGTAGAAACTGGGAGAATGTAGTCCTCCGGAAACTGGTTGTGAGCAAGTGAAATCCTTAACATATGGGGGCAAAAGTAGGCCATTCAGCACATTGAGTCTGCTCTGCCATTCAATGAGATTGGGGCCAATCTCATAATCCTCAATTCCATTTTCTAGTTTTATCCGCCTAATCCTGATTCCTTATCTCAGCCTCAACAGCCCTGACCGGTTAGGAATTCCATAGATTCATTGCCCTCAGAAGAAATTTCTCCTCATCTCTGTTGTAACTGGGCAACCCCTTTTGAGATTATGCCCTGTAGTCTGACATTGTTCCACAAGGGGCAGGGGAACCTACTCAACCGCTTCTCATAAGAAAATCTCTACATACCCAGGATCAGTCTAGTCAACCCTACTGCCTCAAATGTCACTGTTTTTCTTTAGATGAGAAGACCAAAACTTCATGGAATTCTTGGTGCGGTCTGATTAGTGCTTTGTATAGTTTTAGCAAGACCTCACTGCTTTTATATTCCCTTTTAAATAAAGACCACACAGTAACTGAAATAAGCCCACTGATTCTAATAAATGTTACTAGACAGGCCCTCCCTAAAGTGAGAGAACATTCAAGGTAGGCAGATATCCAAGATGGACTGTGAGAAAGTGGGAAAAGAATGAAAATTGGAAGCAAAGTTAAAAAGTTTTCCAGTTCTGTCTTCAATACTGAAGAAACTCTGCAACACCTGGGATAGAGCAGCCCTACTTGATAACCAACCCATTCTTTCAATATTCACTCCATCCCGCCATAAGTGCAAAGTGGCATTGCACAATTCACCAAGGCTCCTTAGACAGCACCTTCCAAATCTACAGTCTTTACCATTTGGAAGTAGAGGGGCAACAGACCAATATGAATACTACCAATAATAAATTTCTCTTCCCATACAGTACATGACTTATAAATATTATTTCTTCTTTCACTGTGTTACAGATGGGTGAATGGCTGAACCACTCTGATTATTAGACCAAAACACAAGCCCCAACCTGTTATGATGGGGGTAGAGGTTCTCATGTAATAATTACCCCTGAAACACACAGAGAAGCTCACCTTTCCCCTCATAATCTGTTAAAAGAAAAAAATCCCTGAACTCCACTTTATAAATAACAAGAAACAATTTATTCATTTAACCCTAACACTGAACAAATGAACAGAATTACGAACAAACTGAACAATTCCCCCCTTAGACTACCAACTACTTCTTAACTAGCCTAAATTCTATTAGAATGTGTTCAACTAAATGTAAGTCCCATTTGTATAAACCCAATCAATAAGACAACAATAAATGGAAACCTAATCTCTCCAAATTCACACAGAATGTGTCTTCTAGAAAGTTCTGGCTTTTCCGTTGATCATCTGTTACAAACGCCTTTCTTCTGATGATTCTGCTGTCTTGGATGTTTCTTCTCTTTAATTTCTTCAATGAGGACTTTGAGCAAAAATGCCATGGTACCTTTGATGAGTCTTTTCAGAGAGCCCAATAATGTAATGTAAAAGAGATAACAAGGTGTAGAGCTGGATGAACACAGCAGGCCAAGCAGCATCAGAGGAGCAGGAAGGCTGACGTTTCGGGCCTAGACCCTTCTTCAGATTAAAAAAATGTAATGTAAAAGCCAGGTTTGTATCTCAAATGGTGGGACTTGCTTTCGCTGCAGCTGAAGCATGGCTCTCCTCTCAGATGGCAGTTGGCTGTCTCCTGATTTTCCAAATGCCCTCATCTTTATACCCGTAATGACATAACAGTATTTATTATGTAAGATTGTTTCAATGTTGTCAACATCATCAGTTTTTAAATTCAATTGGCTTTGAATCCCTTAGTGCTTGGTTTAAATTTATTGGCCAAATTCAAACTTGTTGTCTTGTTTTTTTTTTAAAAAGATATGCTGCTTGACCTTTCAATATAAATGTTTCAATTTTCGGATACTTTCTGTACTGGTGCCCTCCAGCTGCTGCTCACAGACAAACATTTTTTTAAAATCTCTAAGCACAGGAAAAGCACCATTTTTTAAAGGCACAACACACTGCTTTTCCCCCATTATCTTTACCAACAAATTCTAACTTCCTGCCTTCCAATTCATGACTATTCTACCCAATTTGTAACAACTGTCACTGGGAGAAACATGTGATCACTTTACCTAACCATATATTTACAATGCAAACTACAGTAGTTCATGAAGGTCAGTCACCACCAGCTTCTCAAGGGCATCTAGGATGAACAATAAATGTCACCTTGATGGGTGATTGCTGTATCCTGTCAATTAATACAAAAAAAAGTGCCAGGATTCCAAGTTCTGAAAATAAAAAGATGGTAAAGTTTCACATTGAATGGTAGAGGTGTTTGTTCAGTAAATGTACAGATCTACACACTGTACAGTCATCTGTACGGTGTCTCATGCCCACTGAAGGCATTAGGAAAGGATCAGGCGTGGGCCACTCGGCCGTTTGAGCCAGCTCTGCAATTCAACCAGATCATAAGCTATTCATCTACTTCAACACAATAAAACATGGAGTGAATTCTAGTAGAAGTTTCTAGGACTGCCTTTTATTTAAAGTGGATGCCAATGAACTGCTAAAATGACTGCCAAAAATTGCACGATCTTTGTTTGTACAACTCAGTGTATCCCAAGTTTTCTGGAAATTTCTTAATTGACTAATCCTGGGTGGGCATCTTCCTCCAGAACCAACATGCTTAAAGATAACAACAAATTGCTGGAAAAGCTCGGCACATCTGGCAGCATCGGTAGAGAGAAATCAGAGTTAACATTTCAGATTCCAGTGACCCTTCCCCGGAACACGTATTATAGTTTATTCCAAAATTAAGCGATGTTTGCAACGTCCGGCAATTGTACATGTGCACTAATCCAGGAATAAGCATGCACACAATTCCAAACAGCACGTCGTCACATTGAATGTGTGGGCTGTCATTTGCAAACACCACACCACATGCGTTTAAAACTGGGTTCAGTAGCAGGCAATGAGGACATGAAATGAAAGGGGGTCGGGGATCAGTATGTGGGGCTTAGGGATTCAGGGGAGGGAAGAAACCCTTGAAATGAGGATGGGGAGAGGGGAGAATGATGATGGGGATAAATGCTCTGATCCCATTTCTCCCCACCCCTGGTCCCAACCCCACTCCCCTCCCCCCCACCCCCACAAAGGTCCCAGACTACGTGCCCCCAAAACCGTTTAAATGCGCATGTATGAATTAAAATGGTGTATGGCATGCATGCGCTGGTGTCCTCAAACACAGCCATCATTATTATGTGACGTTGGTCAGTTTCACATCATCCCAGCTCTATTAGTCACCTCCACTGTAGAACCACTAAAAACTTTTCTGACCTTCCCTGCCAAACTTAATAGTAATATTATAGTCCTGAGATTTAAGTGTTTCTCTCCCCCTTCTCTATTTCAGCCTGTCAGACAGGCTGTCGCTATCTGGGTAACTGCACTACAGTATTAGAAATCTGAAGCACGTACCTAAAGTATTGCATGTAAAAGGCACTTACCACAGGATTGGAGTATTCAAATGTATGACTTATTACACCAATAAACCTCATTTCACTATTTTAGCTTCTGCATTTGCCTGTTTTTTTTTATTATACAGGGGAATAAACCTCAACTGGCAATCAAAGGGGAATTTCAGAGGAACATTTTGAACAATGATGCTAGTCTCACATGTTCTATTTTAAAGTCTTGTTGATCTGAATTTAGAAATTTCCTTGTATTTTAGCTAAACTTTAATTTTTCATAAAACCTAAGTGCAAATTTTTTTTTGTTTCCTCATTGAGAATGTTAGTTATTAAACCATTCTTATATTTGTAATCTGTAAAACTATTAACTAATAATTCAACTTTTGTTTATTGAACAAACACGTTATTTATTGTGACATTGATTCAGAGGCCACATTTGACCTTTGCCTGTAGCCAGTCAGCATTCTTTGCATGTTAATATGGCTATGCTTCCCTGACATAACTATGGCAACTGGTAAGAAGGCAAGATTGATGCCAAAGCCGCAAGAGATAATCACCAACAACACTCAGCTCTCCCAAACTGAAGCCAACTGACCTTCAAAGCTATATGCTCTTATGCTGCCAACTATCCCTAGTTGAGGAGTAGCTGTGCAAGAATAATTCCTTAGCATTTCAAAAATGATTTGGCCATTTAATCTGAATAATCAAGTACAGCAGCAACCTTGAAGCAATAAATTTCAAGGTGGATATTAAGTTAGTTCCAATATTATAGATCATAGAATCCCTACAGTGTGGAAA